TTGATTGATTGATTGATTGATTGATTGATTGATTGATTGATTGATTGATTGATTGATTGATTGATTGATTGATTGATTGATTGATTGATTATTGTCTCAGTCTTATTTTGTTGTAATGTCTCGAAACAGGATCTCACAGTAAACACTAAAAGCAGCTACTGTTTGAATGAACATAAGAATATTATAATGGCTTTATGGTTAAGATAAAGAAGTAATATTGTAGTAACTTTAAATATCCACACAACATTCTGACTACAGAGGCATTTCTTCCCAGAAAAATGTGTGTAATGCAAAAGAACAGTGACGTAAAGACTCCCAACGTAGCATTTGGTCATCTTCTGAAAATAATCTAAACTAATTTTTTCAAGTTTTTCAGGAAACACAAATAACTTCACCAAGAATTTAACATYTGACTTATAGGTAGTCACACTTAATTTGTCACATTCTTCACAGGCCATCATCTTAAAGGAGTAGAATCAAATGATTTGATCGACTGATCGGCTTCATAGGAGGCCAGCATCATGAGGAGATCATTTAAGCTGAAAAATACAGTCAAATTTACCAAATACCACTTAAAGTTTGAAGAATTGAGTGTAATTTCAAAAACTGTCCATCTAACCAAGTCTTACAATCTTATATCCAGCCAAAAAGTATTTTTGATCTTGTTTTAAGACTAATAAACTAAGCAGGAACAGAATGTGTTAGATCAGTGGTTCCCAAACTTTTCATCATCTGACCCATGAAATGTTCATGGCAAAAGCTTGTGACCCCAAATATTACTGGTCTGAGTACACAAACTTTGTTAATAACCCTAAAAACAAAGGCTACACAAATATAAATACATATTTATACTTATTTTGTGTTTTTGTAATAATTATAGGGAAAATATTGCATCACCAATTATTTTATGACCCTTTAAATTGATTTCTGAAGTGCAGTGGTTCGCAAACTTTTCAGCTTTTGACCCATAAAATAACAGTAGCAGAGACCTGTGCCCCCAACTATTTTTGGATGGTAAACATTTGTATCAGGTCAACTAAACATGGGCATAGTAACAATATCCATTATTCTACATTTATACATTTTAGGCAACTAAGGCAAAAATGTAATTATTTTAGAAAATCTTTTCAGGGCCCCATCTTGATGTTTCAGGACCCCACTTTGGGAAACACTGCTGTAAGGGACACTTCAACTTGGCTGAAAATATGGACATTCAGGCTAATAAAGGACCGTTAGCAACTCTACCTCAGCTTTGAATGCAGTGGGAGTTGGTCTAATCTGCTCAGATTCAGCCATTTGGACTTAATGCTAACATTTACTCACAATGCTAATGTTTGAGCTAGAGTTATACTCTCTGGCTCTTTAGGAGTGAAGGAGCCAGCTGACTGCTGCCAACTAGCGGTCAGAGGCTAAACTACAACATAAAAATTAACCGCTGGCATTAAAGTTTACAACTGAAGCCTTAATTAAATATCAATACAGGGTTTTAGAGAATTGGTTAGGGCTGCACGATATTAGGAGAACCTGCGATGTGCAGTAATGGTACTTAATATTGCGATGAAGATATGACTTGCGATAAATAAAAAAATAAATATATATGTATGTAGTGCTGATGTCTTTCTGCTCTGGGTTCAGAGCAAAAACATAAACAAACAAACAAACAAAACATTTTCATTTCAGCATGAATTGTTAAAAAATATAAAGAGATCCGTCCAACTGGCCAAATACACACACACACACACACACACACACACACACACACA